ATGAGCTCTACAACTTTTGTTAGAAGCCGAAGAGTGATTTACTTAGTATAAAAAAAGTTTTAGATAGAAGCGCTGTGTATTCGCACTTATAGTAAAATTTATATATATAAAAAAAATTTTTTAACCAGGTGACTGGCGGATTGCCTATTAAATATATAACTATAATTAATTAAGCATATTACATGTTGATTCAAAACTGTGAGTGGGCGATAAAGTTGCCCACACAGTAGTATTGCTAGTTATTATTATTAATATTTGTATTATTATTATTTTCTATTAAACAAATAATTTAATATAATGGTTAAGTTGGCTAAATTAATTCCAAACTATTAATTAATTACTACTACTTTAAGAATTAAATCTAGGGCTTTATTTTTTAGCGACCCATCGCTGTGGCAACCCCACGATCGGCCAATCAAATTTGGTCACATGACTACAATTTCAATCATCAAAAAAAAAACTCAATTATATTAAATTCGTATTTATTATAATAAGAAAAAAAAAACAAAAGACAAAGCTCTAATTCGTATAATGATTCGCATGCCTAACCTGTATTTATTATGATAAGAAAAAAAAAAACTACAATGATCTAATTCACCCAACCCACTCAAAGACTATGAAATCATATCCAAGACTAAGTTATACAACAAATAAATCAGAATCAACAACAAAAGACAGATCTGAAGTATACAAGACCTACTTATTTGAAGAGAAACACCAATCCAATGACAATCTAAAGAGTAGCACCAACAACTTAAACTTTAACGACAGCTCCAACGACTGAAGGAGAATATATGGGCTTGGTGCTGCAAAAAGAAACCAAATTGACAATTTTTTCAAAAGATATTTTTTTATATAAATCAATTTAGAATAAGATTAGGATCATTTTTTATTTAATTGATGATCCACTAGTCACCTGACGAATAATCATAGTAAAATGTGACTCAGATTACTATATAAATTTACTATAGTGCGAATCTGGAAATTGCCCAAGGTAAACTTTTTTCATACTAAGTTAATCACCTTTCTTGCTTAAGAGACTTTTGTAAAGCTTGTCAAAACGCATCTAATGGTAGTTAGAACATCAAAATCGGTCTGGTGGGTACTGAGATATTTTTTAAAAACCTCTCTTTTACTATGTAAATTTTTTTGCAAACAATACTATTGTTTGCAAAGAAATTTACATAGTAAAAGAAAGGTTTTTTAAAGAGATCTCAGTACCCACCAGGCCGATTTTAACATTCTAACTACCATTAGATGCATTTTAACAAGCTTTACAAAAGTCTCTTAAGCAAGAAAGATGATTAACTTAGTATGAAAAAAAGTTTACCTTGGGCAATCGCTATATTCGCACTATAGTAAATTTATATAGTAGTTTGAGTTATATTTTATTATGATTATTCTTTAGGTGACTGGTGGATTATTAATTAATTTATTTTTTTTTAAAAAAAAAACATCCTGACTTTAGCTTTCATTTAAAATTTTTTTCTAATATTTAAAAAAACCTTTTAAAAATATACAATCTAAACTATATATATACTAATGTTTCTGAAAGTTTCAAGGTCGTAGCACCTCTCTATGAAAAGATATAGATGTAAAGAAACTTTTGTTAGGTACTGTAAAGTTATAAAAACCATTTCAGATTATATACATGGCAAGTTCTATTGAATCTGTAGTTGTTTTTGTTAAATTTAAAATATTTTTAATTCTGTCAAAAGAGTCTATAGTGGATAAACCTTTAATCCACAATTTTCTTTTTTTTTACTTTTATTAGCTTTTGTAACTCTGATTAAGATCTCATAAAGAAGTCTTTTTGAAAAGAGATATTTTTCTTCATTTGTAAATTTAGACCATACTAGATCAATTGCTGTGTTCTTGATATATTGCTATATTGTCTTGTAATAAAAACATTTTGCCAAGTGATCCTGGGTTTCTGCAGTGCTATTATTGCATACTATACAATTACTACTTGTATAGATGTCTGGTCTTTTTGTCTCTAAGATTTTAAACACTAGTAAGTTTTCCAAGAGGCATTTTAACTGCATTGCGAGCTTTTTGCTTTTTTGTAACATATTATATCTTACACCTTTTAATTTCTTTATCCTTTTCCAATATGTATACCAATCTAATTTGAAATTATTTATTTCAGATTCTATAGCTTTAATTGATTCTGTTAATATTTAGTTTGTGCTATTTCAGGTTTCAAAGATCTTTTTAAAAGTGGGTCTGGTTGATTTTTTAATTTTATAATCACCCCAAAATAGTAAAAATAAAATTCTTGTTTTCAGATTCAAGTAAATATTCATTGGATATGAAAATAATGTGGCTTTTATTGCTAATATATTTGCTTTACTATTCCACTTGTTGTTACTATAACTTTTAATCTTTTTGACTCTAAGTTAATCTCTTTTGCTTTAATAAGATCTGCTATTTTGATTAAAATGTCCTAGTTCTTTTCTTTGAAAATTCTGTTAAATCTCTATTTACTCTTGATTTTTTTTATATTAGCAATCGCTACTGTATTGTCTGAAAAAATCCAAATATTACTACTTGTTGGAATAGTGAAAAAAGCTAGCCAAATTGTGATGAGTTCGGGCTTTGTCAATAATAGCCAATTCTCTAATTTTGCAAAACTCTCCTATAATAACTTTTTCTTGTTTTTCATCTACCTGTACTTAACCAATACTCATACTACAACTGTTTATTTCACAAATTAGTAACCCATCTGTGTATACCCAAAAGTTATTTTTGTCACTACTAATATTAAAATCTAAACTACTTTTTAAATTACTTGCCAAATCTATATTGAAATTCTGATATAATATTAGCTATTTCAGTTTGGGATATTTCTATATTTGGTATTTCCAAATATCGTAATAATCTACATTATACAACAGTTTAAAAGATTTTCAGAACTTATCGGTAAGTCTAAATTTGATTGGATAAAAATTTCATATAAAAGGAAAAATTTCTTAAGCTACAGAATTGTCTTACTGTCTTATCGCTGTATTAACTAGCACTCTAGGTTTTGTTGACTATTTAATTACAGTACTTCTTTTTTATAAATAATGCAATATACTTGAATTTTTTTTAGTTAGAATATAAATTGTCGCATAAGTTTAATACATAATTTTTTAGAATGCATTGTAACTAAAAAAAATTGAAATATAGGTGTATTTCAAGTGTATTATTATTGAAAAATGTCTGGCTAATCTGATCTTGTAAGTGTTCAAGTAAGAACATACAGCTACGTAGGTATCAATTAAAAAGTATTCCAACTGAGCAATATGTGTTGGATTTTTAATTTATTTCAACTAATACAGTAATACTTAAAATTTATAGTTTTAGATTCGTTAATGATATCTTGTGGAAAAATTATATAAAAATTTACAAGAAGAGTTTCAAAGTTAACAAATAAGTGACGTATTTCGAAAATAAATAGGATTTTTTCAATAGTATTTTTACTATATTGAATTATAAATCAGAAAAATAAATTGAGATTCTCTGATTTTAACTTTGAAACCCTCTAATAGTATGGTTATGTTAGGTGGATTTCTGAGTGTATGTACTATTGTCTTTGAAATGTTATTTAATAATTACAAGACTGCATTTGATTAATCTTTAGAGATAAAACAAAATAATTCATGATGCTATTAAATCGTTTGGAATTGCCGAAGATAAATAGTATTTGATTTTAAATTTAATAAAGTTGAAAAAAAAAAATTGTTAGTGTAACTTTGATTATTACAACAATAAAAATAGGCAAAAATTATTTATTTATAAATTTATTTAATTTTTTAGCTCTACTTCATCTTCAAGTCTATCTTGTTCATTATAAAGATCTCTAATACTTTGTATGATCTCTTGTAATTGACTACAATTTTTTTGCTTTAACCCATGATACTTTAAACTATCAGAAATATTAACTGAACTTAGTAATGAATTAATAATCTCTATAAGCTCTTGTTTTGACATATTTGTTTCATCCATGGCGGCTGCTTCTTTTTGAGCAGTAATAGGTATTGGCCGAAGTAAGTGATTTGATTTGCTTTTTTTGGAAGTTTCATTGATAAACCTTATTTGTTTTTCATATGCCAAATCACTAAAATTTTTTAGCTGTTCACTAAGTAGAGACTCTCCTCCAAGGCTCCTAAATGTGTGATCATTGCTTTAAGGATTCAAAAACTCAGTTTTTCGTAGTTGAACTCGAAATTACTGTGACTCTACAGTATAGTCTAGATGCAACTGACTTCCTGATGATTCATTATCAGTATGCCTAATCATGTTAAATAATATGTGATGCAGCTAATTACAAGATATATATTTTATTTTTTTTGAAAAATATAAATTTTTTATTTAAATGTATAGTTGTCAAATATATTTCACTAACCTTTATAAACTTCATACAATTCCGTGCTGCTATTCTTCAATGTTTTTGTAAAGATACAGGTAGAATCAAGGCCTTCAATGATTTATTAACTTCTTCAAGAATAGTATCAAGGTCTTGATGTTGGTTACAATATCCCAATCGTGAAATAACTGAGTGTGATTCTATATGTTGTCAAACTTCAGGTTTTAACCACATCAATTGCTTTTTGTAGATTATCTCAAGTAAGCGGTATATAGGATGTCTATAACCAGACCATATTGGAGCAAACATATGTCGAGCAGTACTTATTAACAATGGTCAATTGTTTTTAACCCCTGTACAAAAATTTATAATTGCCTAGAGGTAGATAAATGCCTATAATAATTATTAGCTAGAATTTTTAAATAATATGTTTTATTTTTCACTTAAATCTTACTTGTTTAAATTTCAACTTATATATATAGTCATTTTGTCTTTTTGCCCAATCTAGATAACCATCAACTGAAGAATTTTCAGTTATAACTATATATAGCCATAATAGTTCACGCATAATAGTATATCGATAAATGTTACAAATAGAGTCCCATGATTTGTAATGGTCAATGTATTTTTTGAAATACCCAAGTTGATTTTTAGTTCTGTATCCTTGAATATTAGCAAATTTCTTGATATTAATCATCCTTAAAATAATACATAAGTATAAATTAGAATTATTTGAATACTAAACTCAAAAATATTAATTTTATAATAACATAAAAATATTCAAAAAAAACAATAATACTAATTTAGTTCTACGAATATCTTGAGCATATTCATTTCTTCGTGCAGGGCACTAGAAATTAGTATAAGCCACAGGAAGTTTTTTTTAATCTTTTGAGCTAGATTATAAGGAACGCCATCGCAAGTAACTGGTAGCCATTTTCATGTTCCTTGGCTTATTCTTGTAATATTCTGTATATACTCTAAAATCTTTTTTATATTATTTATTGAATTAGGGTTACATTCTAATGGATCCAGCACATGCATTTCTGGAACAATAATATCATTATCAGGTTCTGAGCATTGGGTAATACTAATATATTCAAAATGAGAGCTTTTTTGTTTATAAGTATATGAATGGGACTTGATTATGAGCGATTTTGATTGAGAGTCTGTATTATTAAGTTGTACAAGCTCCTCAGCAGATTCTGCTTGTAAAGTAGCTAATGTGTCTAATTTCTTATTACAATTAGGGTACATATATCTTTTATTTTCAATGTTGGTGGTATTATATTTTTTACACCATTTTGATTAACTCTCGACACCTTTTTGATTTTTAATACTTTGATTAATAATATTTATTTCTTGATCTTTTTCAGTTATAAGGTCTTCTAAAATCGATACTAAGTATATTTTTAATTCTAATTCGTATTCTT